AATTGAAACTAATGAATTTCTAACTTCTAAAACCAATGCCAAAACCTATCAAGCCAACTCCGATTGACCTTAAATTCTGCACACAAGTAAAAAATGACACAAGGGACCTATCCCAACTTTCGAAACCAAAATCTGAGCTCGGTAACAACAAAGTCAACTCTCGGTCAAGCTTCTCAACCTTCCAAACCTTCAACTTTCCAACATTTGGCAATACAAGCCAAAACGACCTACGGGCCTCCAAATCCAAATCCAGACATACACCTAAGTCCAAAATCGCCATATGAAGCTATTAGAAAAATCAAAACTCCATTCCAGAGTTGTTTACACAAAAGTCAATATCTGGTCAATTCTTTCAACTTAAGTTTCCAAACTTGGGACTAAGTATCCAAATTCATTCTAAAATATTTTCGAGACCAAACCAACCACCCCGACAAGTTACATGACCACATATGAACATAGAATTAGCAATAAATGGGGAAACATTAATAAAATACATAAAACGATCGGCTGGGTCGTCACAATTGTAGATCATGACAGTTGTTGCTCCAAAACGCACACGCAAGTATACGTGGTCGACAAGTAATAAAGAGTGAGTAGAGTATCGTTCCCATGAGGACTTGTGACTAACTATCAACTAATAAAATTTATCTATTCAAGCGATTCCTAATGTGTTATCATTAAACTAAAGCTAATCTAGAGACAAGTCGACAATCTTAGAGACAAATTCAATGGGAGAAAATTTTCCAGAGTGATGGATTAGCAAACAATCCCGTTGAGTCTTCCACTTTAATTTATTAATTAATTTATCTGGTTTATTGATTTACAGGGTTAGTATTACTCACACTATTCTTTCAATGTGCTACTCGCACATTCAAGCTAACCTAATGTCACAACCCAAAATCGCATGTGTTGTGATGGCGCCTATCGTGATACTAGGCAAGCCGACAACTCACAATTAGAGGAATCTTTAATCCAAAACATACTGAAATAGGTTTAAGTAAATCAAATCTCATAATAACTGGATGAAAACACCGCAAGTCATTACAGAATTTCCTAAAATTTCGGGTGTCACTGAGTACATGAGCATCTATACAATAACATGGTCTGACTGCTAAGCACATGTCTAGGAAAGTAGAACAATGTAAATAAACTTAAAGAAAAAGGAGGAGAGTAAGGGTCTGCAGACGCTAAGGCAGCTGCCTCGATAATCTCTGAACTGATAAAGCTCCAAAATCAACAACCACCATGCCCAAAAATACCTGGATCTACACAAGAAGTGTAGAGTGTAGTTTAAGTACAACCGACCAATGTACTCAATAAGTAACAAGACTAACCTTTGGGCTGAAAGCAGTGACAAGATCAACCAATACAGTCCAAATACAGAGTTTAACAGCATAGAAATGGTAGGAAATATGACAATAATATCTCAGAGAAAACTCAAAATCTGTTGGTACACAATACAAGAATATAGACATGCTTCTAGGTTTTACAGTTAAGCTCAATACAGATAAAAGATGCGAAGTATGACTTATATGAGGAGTATTACATCTCTATAACTACATGCTAATGTGCATATCACATGTGTTGGAACACAATGTAAACCTCACGTACTCACACTATCAGAGTACTCAATCTGACTATCTCAATTCTCTCTCATCACACTCAGTGACTCGACACTGTACGGTACCTGCACTCACTGCTGGTATGTCAGACTCCGGAGGGGTGGATGCTGCACAAGCGCTAAAAATAAGCCAATATGGCCTGCTGCGGCATGCAACCCGATTCCATAATAATAAAGCCTAAAAGGCTTGCTGCGACATGCAGATCGATTCATATATAAGCCATAAGGCCTGCTGCTGCGTGCAACGCGATCTACGAATCTCATTCACAACACGCCTCTCAGCCCCAACTCAGTCATCAGTCTCTCATACCAATTAGGCAAAACAATGATACATAACAAAACAATAAATAGTGATAGAGACTGAGATATGATACACAATGATGGATGTAACCGAGTACAAAATAGCCATCTAAGCAAATAATTCAACAACAAAAATGACTACAGTGGGTATCAATAGGTTAAGCATGTAGCATAACATGATTTCTAACGTGAATTAGCAGTGCAATTACTCTAACACATAGAGATCACATGAATAACTACAAGGTTTGATGACTACACAATACCACGGAATCGATCAGATCACTATTACTACGGCGTACGCTCACAAGGCGGTCACCTAGCATATGTGTCACCTCAACACTAACCACATAACACGTAATTCAAGGATTCATTCCGTCAGATCCAAGTTTAGAAGTATTACATACGTCAAACCGTGCAAATCTCTACTCCAATAAGCCCTTGCCTCGCCAATTGACTTTGGAACGCCTCGAATCTAGCCACAAACCACTCGATACAATCAAATCGATCTATATGAATCAATTCCATATGAAAAAGCTAAGTTCTTTAACAAAAGTCAAAAGTCAACTAAAAAAGTCAACCCTAGGCCCACATCTCGGAATCCAACAAAATTTACAAAATCCAAACATCCATTCAACGATGAGTTCAATCATACTAAAATTATTTAAATTCAAACTCAAATCGCCTTTCAAATCTCCAAAATTTGGCCAAAGAAGTTTCACCATTTCCCCCCAAATATTCCAACTCCAATCACTAATTAAATGACAAAAATGATGATGGATTTATGAATACAACTAAAAACGAGTTAGAATCACTTTCCCCAATCAAATCCCTGAAAATCCCTTCAAGAATCGCCCAAATCCGAGGTCTCTAGCTCAAATTATGAAAAATGGGTCCAAACCCTCATTTTTGAAATTTGTCTCTACTGCCCAGTTATTAGCTTTCGCGATCGCGGAGCAACAATCGTGATCGCGTAGAACAGCTCTGCCTAGCTCACAAAATCCTCTTTCGCGATTGCGTGAACCGAGTCATTAACGCGGAGAACCACCTTCCCAAGCTTATGCAATCGCGAACCACCACTCGCGAACGTGAAGAACACCGCGTGACTCCCCAGTTGCCTCACTTCCTTGTACGCGAACACAATCTATGTATGCGAACGCGAAGCACAATCTTCTTAACTTCCGTGATCACGCCCCTCACTTTGCAAACGCAAAGAGGAAAAATCCAACAGCCCTCAAAGACCCTTCGCGATCGCGGACCTATACTCGTGATCGCATAGAAGGAAACCAGAACATAGAACATTAGCAGACTTCTACAATCTTCAAAGTCCAATTCCAATCCATTAACCATTCGAAATCCACCCAAGGCCTCCGGGACCTCAACTGAACTTACCAACAAGTCCTAAAACACGATACGAACTTAGTCGAGGCCTCAAATCATATCAAACAACATCAAAAACACGAATCGCACCCCAATTCAAGCCTAATGAACTTATGAACTTCTAACTTCTACATTCGATGCCGAAACCTATCAAACCAACTCCGAATGACGTAAAATTTTGCACAAAGGGTCATAAATGACACAACGGGCCAATTCCAACTTTCGGAACAAAAATTTGAGCCCGGTAACAACAAAGTCAAATCTCGGTCAAACTTCTCAACTCTCCAAACTTCCATTTTTTTAACTTTCGCCAATTCAAGCCAAAAATCAACTACGGACCTCCAAATCGGTATACGGACACACTCTTAAGTCCAAGATCATCCTACGGAGCTATCAGAACCGTCAAAACTCCATTCCGGAGCCATTTACGCATAAGTCAATATCCGGTCAACTCTTTCAACTCAGGCTTCTAACCTTGGGACTAAGTGTCCCAACTCATTCCAAAATATCCCTGGAGCTAAACCCACCACCCCGGCAAGTTGCATAACATCAAACGAGTACTGTATAAGAAATAAATGAGGAAACGGGGCTACAACACTCAAGATAACCGGCCGGGTCGTTACTCCTAATGCCTATATTCCATGGAATTAGGATTAACATGAATGCATTAATAATTCTCATATTTTAATCAAGCAGGGGCGATTAGGTATATCCCTATCCTAACTAGAGATACATTCCCAATGCACAAATTCAAGATCTACCTCTACTCAATCTTATTTGCAATCTAGAATTCTCTCTTCCGAGTTCAATCCTAGATTCTTATATAATATTTAATTGGTGATCAAGCATTCAAATAATTAAGCGTAAGATTGAATAAATAAATCAATATTATAAAATAATAAGAATAATTCATGTTTCAAACTACATCGTTCATGTAGCACGCACACAACTTTGGAACTAATAAACTATTAGATTAAAGAAAGAGAAGAGAAGAAAACTAGTTGGATGCCTCCTTCAAGCGTGGTCTCCGTTCCTTTACGTGAATTCTCCTTCAAAGTGTGTTCGATTTCCTCCAAATTAGGTTTAGGACTCATTTTGTACGATTTGGAATCGTATAGGACCGAAATAACCTTATCCCTAACCTTGTCCCTATTCAAGATCGTATAGGACCGAAATGCCGCAATGCGGGTCGGGGACAGTGCCTAGGGCTGAAACTAGAAACGTTTGCTGCCTAACTTTGCGTTCATCTTGTTGCAGGCCTTTTTATCTGAATTGTATATTTTTCTTTTTTTTATTGTCTTCCACTTGGGGGACAAACACCAAAGGGTGTCCCCGTTTTCTCCTTTTTTTTTTTTGCATTTTATTTAAGTTTTCTCCAAATCTCTTCATCTTCATAATGCTTTATTCCTACACAGTTATAATAATATAATTAAGATAAAATAATATAATTAATACTTAAAAGATATAAAAAGTATTAGAATGTGAGACAATAATAGTTAAATATATTTATTTTTTGCCGAACATCAAGTGTGCAAATGTTCAAGTTATGAATAACACCCGCCAAAAAAAAAGTCAAGTTGTGTCAGCACATGCTCTTTCCACATGATTTATCCATGCTGCACGGCACACTCCTCGCTCCCACGTTCTCTCTTCTATGCATGTGACCAAAAATGAATAAACAAAAAAACTTATCACTCAATATATTCACATTTAGTTTCACACTTACACAGCCATTTCAAGACTCGCGGATATTTGCAAGCAAAGAAGCTCCAGTCACAAGTCCTTCACCGGAGAAGCTAGCGCTTCAGTAAAAATACATTCTTATTAATATTGATTCTCATCCTTAGTCGTTGTGTTTCCACAAGATATTGATGGCAACAAGATCTGTTCAACTTGTCTGCTTACTTATTTTCTCTACCGCCATCATCAAAACTGCATCTGCAAAAATAAATGAATCATTTAAACAAGAGAAAGGCATAGATCATGCATACTTCGTCGATAGATCAATTGTTCAGAATGCTTTGTCAAAAGGAGCAGGTTAATTACACTACTTATTATATGCAGAAATTAATAACTTAAATTAGATAAATAAATGTATGTAGTAGCGTAAAGAAGTTATATTAATCCTTTTCACTTTCAGTGTGCTTGGACGGATCACCTCCAGCATACCATCTTGACCGAGGATTTGGACATGGAGTCAGAAACTGGATTATTCTACTCTCAGTAAGTTCAACATAACACAAGTTTGATTCTATCGTTTTATATAGACACAAGGCTGTTATTTTGTTTCCCAGAAATTACTTATAACGTTGATAATGCAAATAATTTATACTATCAGGATAATTTAACATGTCATAATAGGTTGTTTGCTTTTTTTTTTTCAGGTTACTAAATACACACTTGCTATGAGCAGTTAACTTAAGTTGTCTTTTAGGACCTAGTAATACAAATATTCTCTTATATATTACCAGTATATAAGAAGTTAAACTTTTCTTCTTCACAATATTGAGAAAAGTTTTGATCTCTAATTATTATGAAGACATAATGATTTTTGAATCTTTTTAAATATTCGAAATTTTTTACTTTGTTTATAGGGAGGAGCATGGTGCAGAAACATCACAGACTGCCTGAACCGCTCCAAGACTGATTTGGGTTCTTCAAAACTTATGACGCCGTTTATATTTCTAGGCATTTTCAGCAAGAGCAAAAGTGAAAATCCAGGTTCTATTGAATTAGGATACCCAACATATCGTTTTGAATTATAAATAAAAAATTATTTCTTGAAAACAACTTGATGAAATGAAAACAATATAAAGTTTGACTGACAAAGTTGGCTTATTAGATGTTGCTGCAAATTACTCTGTCCAACTTTTTTATCATACGGTTATTTATTGTACAACATGCAGATTTTTACAATTGGAACAAAGTCTTTGTAAGATACTGTGATGGTGGAGGGTTCACTGGAGATATCGAAAGCATTGATCCCGTATGTTCTCTTTTAAGTTTCTGTTTTAAAATCTAGCTATGTTCATCTATATTAAAAGTGGAAAGCCATAATTAAGTTAAACTTTAAATTATTGAAATAACCTTCTTATCACCCATATATCCTACTCCATCTGTTTCAATTTAAATGACACACTTTCCTTATTAGTCCGTTTAAAAAAGAATGATACATTTCTATATTTAGAAATAATTTGACTTTTAATTTTTTTTATTTTACTCACTTTACCCTTAATAAGAAGCTTTTATAGCCACAAAAATTCCTCTTTTACTGAGTATGTTGTGTTTTCTCCGGGTCGGGGATGAATTATCAGCATTGGTTGAAGTACACTATAACGAGAAATCTATTACAGATTTCCTTTTTGGTGTCACTAATCAACCTTACTCTCTCTATTACATTACTCTATTTATTTTTTATTGTTTTCATATTTCATCATCAAATTTTGTATAAGATAAGTTGATTGAAGAAGTTTTATTTAATTAATAAAATTTCCTCTCTTTTTTTGTTTTGTTTGTCCACCACTTAGTATATTATACGTAAAAAGGGGGGTGAGGGTAAGGTAAAGGGTTTCTGATACATCTGGAAAAATCGAAACCAAGACTAGGAATTTTTAACAAACAGGGTCAAGAATCATTACTTTTTCGTTTCGACACAAGAAATATTTGTATGTGAAGAAGTCATCATGCTTAAAAGTTCGTTCAATATAAATTGTTTTTGCCATCGAATTCATCACAAGGCTAAGACATGGGTTTGGATTACTAAGAAAGGGGAAGAAATGGACAAGTATAATATGCACAGGTAGTTTAAAACAGAGGAAGTAATACATGGCTATACTAATTATACTATATTATTAGTATAGTTAAACTGACTCATCTAAATTAAAACGCCCAGAATATTGTTTTTAAAAAGAGAAAAATAGACCAGTCCTCTTCTTTCTATCAGGCTTAGGTCCAGAAATGCCAGTTGACGGTCCAAATAGTGCTTATTTATTTTATGCTATCCTTACTTAATAGTCTCAGTCTGTTGGGCGGTGTCTGCTCCAAATCACTCCCGAATCTTTCCGAAGTCAAACCAATCTGTCTCGCAAGTCACAAAACAATAGATACACATACGGAAAATATCAAATAGGGAAACGGGGTTCAAATACACAAAATGATCGATTGGATCGTTACATCTTTGTATTGATTGTGCAAGGTATGGTTCTTGAGCTTGCGTTTCAAGGTGTCAAAACACATTTCACTATGCTTCAGGTATTTATACTTCAGTTACAAAGAATCTTTTTTAGGTTCAAACACGAAAATTAAAAATCTAACGCCTACCCCAATGAATACAGACATCTTTGTTATAGTATTAGGTTTTAGCAAGTTGCATGTACTTGCACCTATAGGAGAAACGTTGCCGAGTGTTTAAGAAGAATTATTAATGAGTTCAGATGGCTGACAGAGAGAAAATTAAGAGCGAAACTATGGTAACTCGTAATTAGAGCCAAATTTTCAAACGCACTCTATGTGAGTGATTACATTTTCTTTAATTTCACATCGAGTTTCTTAAAGAAAAAAAAATACACTTTTCTCATTCTTTTAATCCAATTTTAAATTGTTGGGTTATAGGGTTTTAAATATTTTAATTTATGTGTATCTTTTTATGATTCAATTGCTACGTTACTTGTTAAATTTTGGCATTCCTTTTGTTTTAATACTATTTATATAAGTGATAATTTAGATATTTAATGAATGTGTTTACTTTCTCTTCTTCCATGAATTATTCCTCCATAATGTTGGCGTATTTCGACTTAAATTGTTAACGTGGTTTGATAACCTTTATGAATCGATCATCTTATGTCGGACTAGAATGAAAACGAAATTGATTTTGAATAGTAGGCTTGTATTTGGAACATGTAGAAGAACTGTCACGACAAAATAAATGTGTGAAATGTATTACTACTTCTACAGTTTGAATTTGTGTCACTTTTATAAGTAAAATATTTTCTCAATGTGTGACGTTGCTTAGTAATTCTAATTTATTAAAGTACTGATATAGCATTAGACGCAATTGAAGCGCGCATTTTAGTGTAGAAAGGCACATTAATGGGAAAATAAAACTTAGAATATGTGATGATCAAAATAAAGCCAAAATAACAACTGAATAGACAAAAAAATATTAAGAAATTACAAATAGGTAAATTATTAAATCTTTCTTTTAGTGTTAGTGCATGGGCTATTGATTGTTTGTCGTATACTATATGATTCGGAATACACGTGCAGTACATGTGCCGAGAAACTAATTTACACATAAATATGAATATTGAGTTTGAGACATTTCTTTATTGGTGAACACAACATGGAACTCTACTGATCACTTCCTGCATTGTTTAGGCTACCAATCTTCATTTCAGAGGTGCAAGGATATTTGATGCAGTAATTGAGGATTTGTTAGCAAAAGGATTAAAGGATGCAAAGAATGTATGTAAATCTAAATTATAACTGAAATTTTATTTTCAGTATATTAGGTTTCATATTGAAATTATGCAATATTATTTAGTAGTCGATTGATCTCACATACTAAGAGAGATTAATAATGCAGGCCATTCTTTCTGGTGGTTCTGCTAATGGATATCCAGCAGTGTTATACTGTGATCGCTTCCACAATTTATTGCATAAAGCTCATAGAGTGAAATGTTTGGTTGATGCTGGTTACTTTATCCATGTGTAAGATATATAATGATTTTAAATTTCCTATATAGAAAATGATTGTAAATGCTATCTAACTTTGAGGATCTTATTTTTAATAGGAAAAATCCACGTCTAGCAAATGTGTTTGAGTCACTCTTTAGAGATGTGGTTACCTTACATGTATATTAATCCTATCTCTTCTTTTTTATTTTTTTACCAGTATATATCTGTTGATTTAGGGTTAGATCTGATATCTAAACCTATTTACTTGAGTTGCAGGGATCTATCAAAGTGTTACCAAAATCATGCACTTCAAAAATGAAACCAGAATTGGTACGTCCTGCTACCTAGCTTGATTCAATTGTTATTTATGTGTCCTTTTTTGCCCTTGGAATATTTATACAAATTACCATTAATACACTGCAGTGTTTCTTCCCAGAAAACATACAACAAGATATCAAGACGCCTTTTTTTACCGTGATGTCAGCATTTGATAGTTATCAGGTAGTTAGACAGTTATGCATTTGTTTCCAGATAGTAGTTACTTTTTCCTCCACCATGTTTGATTTTGAAGGTCACTGGAATGATTTGAAAATGTGCACATACTAGGTGTAAGTTTAATCTTTAATTAAGCTGTTCTCGAATTACTCATAGGCCACCTAATTTAATAGAATAGTAAGTTAGTTAAACTAGTTTGGATTTACTTTATATGCTAATATATTTTTACTTTTGGAAAAATTGACCAAACACAATTTATTTATTAGATACAGAAAGAAATACTTCTCAAAAATTGATCAAATCCAACCGCTTCTATAGAAAATTACTTAGGTGAAATACTATTTCTACTTCTCAAAATAAATTGTTTTTAGAAGTTTGACCAAATATGCTCTCAGTGTATTTAAGCTGTAGTTTTTCCAGAAGATTTATCTCACTTGTAGTAGGTGACTAAGGCTTCTTTTAAAGTATCAATGGATATTAAACTCAACTATTTAGTTATGTGCTAGCCTTCCTTTTTCCATTTAAAGTTTCTAAATGAAATGTTTTTCAGGTGGACAATATTATAGGCTCAAATATAGGCGAATGCATTCGAGCCCGAAACTGCACTGAAAGTCAGAACAATGACTTCAAAGGTCTGTACATATATACCTGGGTAAAATAGTTAGTATAATTCTAGTTCTTTTGTTATTCAACGGACCTGCAGGGTCGAAGTTTCACTACTATACTGAAACGGAAATATTCGTTTTATGAGTTAGTGAATATGACAACCATTTTTCAATGGAAATTTTCATAAAACAACGGAAATTTAAATAGGAAGGGTAACAGCATTCTTCACGTTTAATTTTATCAAGTAGAAATATATAAAGGAAGATGCAATTGAAACATATATACAATGAAAATCATAATTTATTTAAGAAAAAAGACACAAGTTGCCTCCTAAACTTGTCTCAAAAAGCCATTTACGTATTTTAACTTTAAGAGTGACCTATCTAAAAGTACAAGGGGATGAATTGTAATCCTTTTTGACTTCTGTATCCTTTTGTCAACTACTTTACCAATATAGTTGACTATGGTACTAATAGTATTAGTCTGACGCAGAATGATAAATTGCAAAAAAAAAAGAAAAAAAAAGGAATTCTACGACGATATTTATACTGGTTTGGATTCAATATGAATCCTACTCCAGCCCCCGGGGTTGCATGAGGGTTCTCTACGATGGCTCCTTATCAAACTTTGTTACAAGAGGGTTCTGTGACTTCTTCGCACTTCACTATCTTGCTCTCTCAGATTTTGATACAATCGCTTACCCCCCCCCCCCCCCTCCCCCCCTCTCTCTCTGCACACAATAAATCAATGAAATTTTGCTAAGAGTAGAACAAAGAGCTTGATATTGGTTAGATGAAAGTATATCTTGTCATGGAATACTTCATCTTTTTAAATACATAGATGGAGGCCGTTGGAGTTATAGATATTCAGCAGATAATTTCCTTAATCTACTGCTGATAGAGAGATGACAACCCAAGAGATTTGGTCTTTGAAAGATATTCCAAAAATAAAGTTGGAGCCTTCCAAGATGCTGCTTAATTTTCACATATATGCTTCCTTTCTGGATTGCTTTGAATTAGGTCATTCTTAGTAAAAAAATTAAAACTCCATCAATCACTTGATTTGTGCTGGCGAGATTTCTTATTGAATGATTGATTCTTCCTACCATGTAAAACGTTATCTTTTAGCTCTTGATTGATTCTTTGGATTCTTCTTTCCTTGTCAAGTCGCTATCTTCCAGCTTTTGATTGATTCCTCTTTCCTTATGATCCATTGTCTTACTTTTCCTCATGCGTCAGACATTCTTTTTTTCCCTTTTCTTTTTGCACAAGTATATTGTCCTTCATCAATGCGATCCTGCAATTTTACAAGTGATGTCATCATTAAAACAAGGCTAACAATCTCCCTCTTTTTCATGATAACAATTTGAACATTAATTAAGGATGATCAACTTATGATACTTCCCTGATAGGAGCGTGTGGATCTTCTCCCCTTGAGTATGTGCTCCACCTGAATTGATGTTCCTCCTGATATAATTCTTCACCCTCTTTTGCATCAACAAAAATAAAAGTACAGAAGAGATAATAACATATGCATATAAGTAGCCGGCTTAACCATGGAAGCAGTCAACTTAAGTAATTATCTAAGACCAGAAAAAACATAAGTCTACGCAGCATGTAGTTGACTAGCCTACTGAGTGTTCAGAACATCCACAAAACATACCAAAAAATATATATTGTTAAAACAACCATAGAAAATCAACAAAGGAATTAAGTAAGGTGTTGCAGATGACATCTTTCAGCCTGATGAAGTTTGCTGTCATGGATGATTGAGATTCCATCAATCCAGTCATGCACTTCCCTGAATGCACCAACTGGCTCATGTGCCATTCATTCCAACTTGACTCGAATTTTTGAGGTATCAAATTTGGCTTCCTTTTATATTTCCCTGATGTCTTCCACCAATATCTAGTAGCAGCAAGAAGTTCCTTCACAATTTTAAATTTTTTATCTGTCCACCAATCTTGCGGACAGTTCAGGATCAAATGAGTGAGAGGATGAAGTTTTTGCCTTGGAGTGGGTTGTTATGGTCTTGCCTTCAGTCTGATGCTTTTTTACCTATATTCCTTCTGTAGATATGTACCCCATGTTAGCAAAGTCTATAGAGTTATAACACTTAGGCACAGGAAGGAACAGAAGGTTTGAGAGAGATTTTGATGTGTTTCCAATAGAAGGGTAATGATCATGTTGTATGGGAGAATAGTTGGGTCATCAATACTTTCGAGCATAAAGTAAATCACCCATGACAAGAGTTTGACCCTGTGTTTAGTGACTAAGAAGTAGGCTAGGAATATATCTCGCTAAGATAGAGTAGAAAAGGAAGCTCTTTTAGCAATAATAGTGGTAGCAACAATGTGAGCAGGAATTCTGGTTTCAAAATTGATATTGTTAGGCCTAGTTGATTTGGGAGAGGGTCAGTGGATGCTTCAGCAATGTATTTCTTTGCTTGTTCAATCGAAACTTCAAGATCATCTGGCCAAGATTTCTTAAACAGAGTCGCGTATCCGGAGCACTTGCAATTGCAGATGGAATCAAAACTAGAGAAATCAAGAATAATGTATTCACCAAGAACTAGGGATTCAATTGTACAAAAATTTTGGGGATCAAATATTGGTATAGAACATTCGAACAAAAGTTTAAAACCTTTGGGAGGGGCTTGAGCAAGAATGTTTTCCCAGCGTTAAAATTCGAAAAAGTCGTTTACCTTGCAATTGTTGCTTTCCATGTCTTCAAGATCGATGATTTTTCCATGTGCAATAGGTTGCTCCTTCAACTCAATGTGCATGTCTCAATTCAGGGTGTCCCATAAGTTAATGTCAGAATCATACGTGCCATCTAGGTCCAATTTAACCTTCTTTGGAGAGATGGACTCAAGGTCTTCCATTGGTCGTTTTCGCAGGGGCTTTGCTTTCTGGACTTCGAACATCGTCGGAGGGATAAACCCTAGAGGAGACAATTTCCTTAGACTGGAGAGAGTCAAGATCAAGAAGTTTGTGGTTTTGAGGCGTTGATTTTGCCTTATTCCGGGAGCTTTGGCAAATGGATGGGACAGAGTTCTTGGAATTTTTGGCCATGATTTTTGAGAATTTTATGTGAGACAAAAGAATAGTCTTAAGAGAAGTAAGAGTGGCAGAGGAAAATAAGAGTAATTATAGATACTAATAGGAGAGTTAAAGGATGGGTTAGAAGAGAGACTAATCGGCAGCGTCAATGAAAAGGAGCGTCTGAACAGACGTGTCTTGAAGAAATGAAAGGGTGAGAAAAGGAGGGGAAGTAATTAATGAAGTGCTGAGGCAAATTGTTTAAGTCAGGAAAGGGAATTTATGCAATCATAGAAATAATGCAATAGAATATATTATACCCAAAATAAGTGAGAAATTAATGAGGATTAGAAATAATGCCAAGAGCACTTCTTAATGTACCAAAACTTTCTTCAAGCAAGGGTTTGGCTAAAATATCTGCCAACTGATCCAACATTCCAATAAATAAAATTTTAATTCTCCTTTTATCACACGACCTCCAATAAAATGATGCTTAATATCTATATGTTTCGTCCAACAATGATGCAAAAGATTTTTCGATAAATAGATAGCACTAGAATTATCACAAAATATTTGATTTGGTTTAAGAAGAATATCATAGTCATTAAGTTGATGCGACATCCATAGTAGCTGGGCACAACATTGTACTATAGAATTATATGTTGTTTCCATTGTATATAAAGCTACAGAACGCTATTTTTTAACTATTCCAAGAAATTACAGATTTTCCAAGGAGTTGGCATGTTCCACTAGTGCTTTTTCTGCCATCCCAGTCACCTTCAAGATCTGCATCTAGGAAACCTTCCAATTTGAAATTGTTTGAACGGGGATACCTTAATTCACATGATGTGGTTCCAACAAGATAACGAGTAATTCTTTTGACTGCAATCTATGGCTGTCCAACGGGACGGGACGGGACGGGACTGGACGAAATTAACGGGACGGGACGGGACGACATTTAAGCGGGACGGTGGCGGGACGGGACGAAACGGGACGGGACAAACGGGACGAAACGGTCGTCCCATCCCGTCCCGCTAACAAACGGGATGGGACGGGATGGGACGGGACGGAATGGGACGGGACGGGACGGGTTCGTGGGCCTTAAGTGTATTTTTTTTTAATAAAAAAACGTCTAGTTTTTTGAAAATTACTATGTTTTTAAAGTTTACAACGGCTAGATTTTTGACTTATTTAATAAACTTAAATGTTACTATGTTAGTATGTTAAAACGAAAATTAGAAAACTAAGTAAAGAATTATAAAATATTAAAACAAAAGACTTGTAATGAAATATTCTAGTAAATATAAATTTATAATAGAGTTATAATTTATTTAATATAATTTTAAGGTATTAACTATTAAGTAACTAAGACAATTCATAAAAATAATTCATCGCTTAGAGCCTTTTATTTTATTAATAGAACTTTCAAATCTCAAATACAAATATAATTCTTTAATGGCTGGTGCATAAGTTGGATTTTTTTTATACTTACCAAATACAACAGAAATTCCACAAATATACCATAATATTTGTGTAATAGTAGGATAATATATACCAGAAAATTATTTTGTAGCATAATAAAATTTTTCTAAAAATTTAGTAAGCTCTCTGATCTCATCCCAATCAGAATCAACAATTTGATCAACAGGGTAAGCATTATGCATATTAAATACCTTTTGGATGGGCACCCGATAGTCATAAGCAATTGTAAGCATTTCATAAGTAGAATTCCACCTAGTACAAACATCTTTTGGAACTTTTCTAAATGGAAGGCCAGCACTAGCACATTGTTGAGCAAATTCACGAATTCTACTTTGTTTATGAGCACGAAAAATATAGCCACAAGCATGTTGTATTTTACTACAAGCATCAGAAAATAAATTAAGACCATCTTTTACAACCAAGTTAAAAATATGGCATGCACATCTAACATGAAAAATTATTGGATTAATTGGACAAAGTCTAGATTTTAAGCTATTTGCCGCGGTTGTGTTAGCAGACGCATTATCTAAGGTGATAGTTAGAACTTTATTAACAAGTCCATAAAAATCAAGTATTTGTAGAACAGTAGTTGCAATATATGCTCCAGTGTGTTTTGAATCAACAAATTTATAACCAATAATACGTTTTTGCAAGTTCCAGTGATGATCAACCCAATGACATGTAACAGTTAAATAATCACAACCATTAGGACTACGACCTATATCAGATGTGATAGACACTTTACAATCTAAGTGAAAAAATACACAACGAATATACTGAAGATATTCAGTTTGAAATTTAAAAACATCATTTCTAACCGTGGTCTTAGGAAAACTTTGAAAAGCAGGGTTATAAGTTTCTTGTATATAATGCACAAAAGCAGGGTGAGAAGGAAAAGTAAAAGGTAAGCCGCAGACAGCCACCATTTTTGCTAAGTTCTCACGATCTCTATCTTTGTTATATTTGCGTAAAACATGACCAGAAGCAGGGTCAAGTTGTTGTTGAATTTGATTAGAACCAGATCCACTAGGAGTTCCAGAACTGATGGTAGGATCTATAATTTTTCCGGCTTCTATGTTAGCTTGTATCCATAAATCTTTGTGAGCACTTCTTAAGTGTCTAGTTAAACCCCCCGTCCCATCACTTAGTGAGTGTGCAAATTGTTGCTTACATTTTTTACAGATAGCACGATGATTGACTTTATCATGTTTAAAAAATTTCCATACAAGTGATGTTTTGGGACGTTCAACCTTAGGCTTACCCCTTACAGGGGGTACATGGGGTAGGGGCTGTTTGGACCGTTGGCAACGGCTATTTTTGCCATTTAAGCCGTTGCCCAACGGCTAGTTTTTTAAAAAAAAAAAACTGGCGGGACGCGGGACGGGACGCGGGAAGGGACGGGACGAAACGGGACGAAACGGGACGGGACAAACGGGACGAAATGGCCGTCCTGTCCCATCCCGTGTCCCGTTTAACATTGGCCCATCCCATTTAACTTGAAGCGGGACGGGACGGGACGCGGGACGGGACGGGCCGTCCCGTCCCGTTGGACAGCCATACTGCAATCAAATGAGATTCTTTAGGAACTGATTGGAACCTAGCACATTTGCATATGCTAAACATGATATCCAGTCGACTAGCGGCTAAGTAGAGTAAAGAACGAATCATTCTACGATACTTGGTTTCGTCCACGGTTTTTCATCCTTTATCCTTATCCAAGGAGCATGATTGACTCATTGGTATTTCGATTGATTTTTCATTTCCATTCCAAACTTCTTGATGAGTTTCTTGGTATATTTTGTTTGGAATATGAATATACCTTCCTTTGATTGATGAATTTAAAGTCAAAATAAGAAAGCAAGTTCTCACGTCAAACTCATTTTGAATTTGCTTTGCATAAATTTTAAGAGGTCCTTGCATAAATCAGGGTTAGCGCTTCCAAAAATAATACTATCAACACAAATTTTAATAATAAGGTTACCAGATGAGGATCGCTTGATAAATATGGAAGTTGTCTATCTTACCTTTTGCAAAGCCACGATTCATTGGAAAAGAGCTTAGTCTCTCATACAGGCTTTAAGAGCTTAGTTAAGACCATATAATACTTTAGATAGTTTGAAAATATGACAAGGAAATTGTCAGTTTTCAAATGTTAGAGGTTGTTTAGCATAGACATCATCATTTATGAAACAATTTAGAAACTACTTTTAACATCAATTTGAAAAAAGTTTAAAAACTTTGAAAGCTACATAGGCCAGAAGAATGCGGATATACTCTAACCTAGGAACTGATGCGAATATTTCATCATAATCAATTCCCTATTGTTGTTAATATCCTTGAGCAACTAGGCGAGCCTTGTTTATGATCACCTCACTTGACTCTTTTTGAATTGGTCAAGTTTTTCCTGCATTTCTTGTACCCAACAATAATCCTTGAGGTTTTCATCAACCTTTTTGGGTTCCAATGGAGAGATTAGTGTAATGCTTCCTTTGTACTTTAGTGCACCTCTAGTTTTTATCCCTTCATTAGGATTTCCTATGATAAATTTTTGAGGATATTATTCTCCATTCACTTGGAAAGACTTTTGGTTATTTGGTAGTCAACTCCTTCCAGGTTTCCTTCTCTTGGGATGTCTGCATAGTAGTCGACTCCTACGATTCAATGTGACTACTTTGGTTATCAGATTTTCTATGTTCAGAGATTCCTTAGACGTCTAGGTTGGCTTCTTCAACACTTGCATCAATGCCTTTCTCGACCATGGGATTAGTATCATCAAATACTACACGAACTGATTCTTCAATACACGTGGTTTCTTTACTATAAACTCTAAAAGACCCGCTTGAAGTAGAGTAGCCGGAAATATACCTTCATCACTTCTTGGATTAAACTCGCCTAGATTATCCTAACCATTATTGTGAAAAAATTATTTGCAACCAAAGAGGT